TTATTTAAATGTTGTTGAAATATGCTTTTAAGGGCAAATTATAATCCTTAACCACTTCCCTTAAATTCTTATTTTTTAAAAGATCAGTATTTCTTCCAATGATTCAACTGTATTTCAGAGCAGACCACAGACCGTTTTTACGTACCTTATTTCCTGCTCCTCCCACTCGCAGCACATCATCAGGGTTCATAGCAGTAACACAGTCATTAACCAACTTGTTGCTATGGGATCGGGTAGTTGTGACAATGTGTTTCCCAGCAGGGACTTCTTTCAGTTGAAACCCAAAGGCACCTAAACCTAAAACTCCCCAGATTGTTCTCCCCAACACAGCATCTGGTCCTGCCTATGTAAACAGGTAAAATGACAGTGTTTGTAATCATTTGGAGAAAAACGTTAGTCATAAATAGAATGTTTAATTATATTAACATCATGATAATTTTGTAAATAAAAACATGGTAACATTTAAAGTGTAAGGACATTATCATCAGCAAAGAAATCAACTCAGCCGTCTCACTGTTGCGTTGGTTTCAAGGGTATGGAAATGAACTTTTGGGAGCTCTGGTAGCATAGTGGCTAAGACACTTGCCTGCTAACCAGATGGCTGGCGGTTCAAACCCACCAGCCACTCCTCGGAAGGAAGGTTGGGCAATCCTACTTCTGTAGTGATACTGCCTCGGAAACCCAAGGAGGGGTCGCTATGAGTCAGGGCTGACTTGACGGCACATAACAACAACAACAACAATTCTTCTCTGAGGAGCTCTGGTGGCATAGTGCCTAAGACAGTTGACTGCTAACCAGAAGGTTGGCGGTTCAAACTCCCCAGCCACTCCACGGAAGGATACTTCTGTAAAGGTTTACCACCTCACTATGAGTCGGAATCGACTTGATGGCAGTAAGCTTGGCTTGGTTTGGTTTACTCCTCTCTGAATCTCCCAATTATCTCATTGTTGGATTTGAAAATAGCTGTTTTCAAAAGGTATTCACATCCCCAGGAAACGAAACATCATGTGTTGATTACTACTTTCCATTATCCGAGGAACAGTAAGGCCCAGATTAGTATGAGAATGGATAGTGGTGATAATATATTTTGCTGCCATAAAGACAAAGCAAATGAATGACTGATACTAAAAAGCTGACCTGAATAATGGGATCAGGGTTTAGATTTTACTGACGATTGTGGCAAAATGACAATGATAATGCAATCTTAGGATCTGTATTTTCCTTTGAAGAGCTTAACAAATTTTCAAACACATTATAATTATACATCTCATATAGAAAAAAATAATCTCCATTTCATGGAAAGTAAGATGCATAAAATGGTTAACAGAGAGTAATGAAAAATACCATTATACTAACATCCAAACCAAAACCAAACCAGTTGTTGCTGAGTTACACAAACATATTAGACATATATGGTATTTTATTGAATATTTAGCATATACCAGACACATACTAACTGCTTTACGTGTATTATCTCATTTAATCTCAAATAACTCAATGGAATAGCTATTATCACTCTTATTCTACAGATGACAAAAGTGAGCTTTGGAAACACCTGACTAAGCACTCTAGGAAGATAACCAAACTCAGGCTCATCTGTGTTCAAAGATGATATTCTTCATCACAAAACTATACTGCCTCAGTTTACTTGTCACAATGCTTTCAAATACATCATCATATTTGTCCTATAGGAACTCTGGTGGCATAGTGCCTAAAGTATTTGACTGCTAACCACAAGGCTGGTGGTTCAAACCCATCAGCCACTCCTTGGAAGGAAGATTGGGCAATCTACTTCTGTAGTGATACCACCTTGGAAACCCAAGGAGGGGTTGCTATGCGTCAGATATGACTCAATGGCAATACGTTTGGTTTTTTCTTTTTTCTTTCTTTCTTTTTTTTTTTTTTTTTGTGATATTTGCCCTATAGCAGTATCCTGGGTGCTGTTATAGTGAAATATGTTTATGTTGCAGGTTGGATCCCCAGGACCCAGACTCTGAGACAGAAAGGTGTTTATCAAGCATTGTACTTGGGATCCGCAACTGGGGAAGGAGAGGGAAGAAAGCAGGAGTGGGTAGATGGTGAAGGTGAGCTGTGATGGAGGCCCAACAACAGTCTCAGCTGACCACATGGGGAGCTCTCAAGCTAGGATGGCCCTTCAGAGTTGTCCCAAATTGGGCTGAAGTGCTAGGTCTTTATGGCCTGGTGATAATCAGTCATTGGACATGGACTGGCTTTGAAGGGCATGACTCTGGGCAATCTCCGAAGAGGCTAACAGCTGAAGGCTGTCTGTGGATAGCACTCCTTGCAAAAAGGGCAACAAAGGAACCAAAAAGCAAGCATTTAGGAATGGGGGCTCTAACCAGATGCTCAATATGTCAGTTTGTTTCCTCTGCTCCTTCTTGATTCCACATTATAGGAAAGCTTGGAATCTGAAAAGTACAGATGGGCTCTATGGTAGCTCAAGATACTCATTTGGCTTTAGCTTGATTCCCATTGAGACTAATTTCATGCTCCTAAGACACCTATATATTAATTCAGCTCTCCAGTTACTATGATAAAGAGAGGGAAGCACACTAAAGAGTGGAAACAAGTATACTAGTCTCTAACCATTCATGTTCCCCCTGAAAATGAATATGTAGGCAAAGAGGAAGGGAGCAGGGGATCTGGTGACTGGGTGAGGTAAATGCAACCCCATGATGCCACTACCTGGCCTTCCCTGTGTTCCTGATTGCTCAGTCTCTCTCACTGTCTCTCTTCTTCGAAGACTCCACACCAACTTTCTGGGGATAATGAAGGCTAATACTCTCATCTTACTGATGATTTTCAGTAAGATTCATAATGGTTAAGAAGTTAGCTCTATTATAAAGCTAGACAATCTCATTACATTATGCCATGATATTTTTTTAAGCATCTACCAGATTCAGTATTTACTGGAAGCAATAGTAAAATGTGAATTGTTAAGTCTTTTGTCAGACTCCAGAGAGGCAATATTAATAATGGTTAAGAGCTAGGACATATGTGTGAATCCCAGCTCTGCCACTTACCAGCTGGATGACCTTGGACAAGTTTCTTGCCTCATTTTTGTCATCTTTAACATGGGGATAATGATTCCCTTATAGGGCTGTTGTAAGCAGTAAATGAGAGAGTGCCTGTGAATCACTTGTGCCTGGCTGTACACAGTAAGCTCTTGATAAATTTCAACTATTATGATGATGATTATTTAAAATCCAACATTTAGCCTTGAACACCACCAACAGAGCTATGCAACTTTTACACTTATTGTAACAAATTTTAAAGCATAAGCAAGAGAGAAGGAAGAAAGAGGAAAAAGACAGTGTGCAGAAAGGAATGGTTGAAAGAGAAAGGTGAAGGGGAGGCAGAGAACAGCAGAAAATCAACTGGCATATGGGATGGGCAGTAACTGCCTTGGGTGCCACACACTGCCTACATCTTTTCTACCTACTAGAGAAGCCAAAACCCTACCTATGTTTTTCACCTTGGCTTCATTCCTGTGTTCCCTTAACTTCTGCTTTTCATTGCTCTGTGGAAAATGAATACAATTTTTCTGATCTCAGAAAGAAGTGATGGGAATTAAAAACTCTTAAGTGCTTAGATCCTTTTCAATGAAAGGTACCATGCATTAGTGTTATTTGTGAATCAAATGCTCCTCTTTTAAATAACAGTAATAAATTATGCACTTTAAGGTTTACACAATAACCACCAATTTGTGTCTGGATTATGTGTATAAACATTAAGGTCATACTAAAAGAATAAAGAACACCTGAGAAATTTAATATGAGAAACACTGCTGATAATATATAACTATTTTGGTAAATAATCCTAAGACATACATGATTATAATAAAAATGTATAATTATACCAATGGCAGATAAACCAAAATAATATTCAAAATAGAGATTAATCCTGCTCTTAAATCAGAATTATAGATGTAAGCTTTCACTCTGGTTACTTAGTTTCCTCAAAGATCTCTCAAGGTCACACCAAGGTAAATACTTTAAATATCAACGATTTCCTTGAAAATTTATTTAATATAATTTAATGGAATATTCCTGCTTTGGAATTGTATTAGTCTCTTTCTTCCAAGGTGCCAAGTTCTTTAAAGTTTAATAGAAAGGAGTCAAAGCAGTTAGGAAGAGACAAAATAAGAAAAAAAAGTACAAGAGCATATTTACTTCTGCTATCACTGCTGCCTATAATTTAGGCATTAAACAGAATTACCTGATAAACAATATGTCTAGCATCTTTTCTTGGTCAAAATGATTAATTTCTTCAATGTGCTTTAAGAACCACTATAAATCTGGTATCATGATAGCCAAGCTAATAAAGAGTTATATATCAGTAGTTCTCAAACTTTACACTGCAATCATAAGGGTACACAAAAATATATACTTCCTGGAACCAACTCCTCCAAACGTTCTCATTTAATAGGTCTGGGGTATGACCTGGGAATCTGGGTTTCAAAAAGCTCCCCAGATGATTCCATGTGCAACCAGCTAGAAATCACTGGATTAGATATAAAAAATCATAAAACTTAATAATTACTCACCTAATAAAATATTTTTACATCACTTATAATATTACCTGGTAGTTGTAATATGGCTGGTTAATAACTCCTGCTATGGCTTTTCCTTCATAAGCAATTCCAATAAGAACTGTTACATTGTCAAGAAGACCTATAAAGAAATAAATATCTATTTAAATAACTTTGTTTTTTTGAAACATTTTATTGTGATTTGGGTAAAAGTTTACAGAGTAAATTAATTTCCCATTTATACATTTATATACATTTATACTTTTATTCCATTTATGTAACAATTTATATACATTTTGTTCCATGACATTGGTTGCAATCCCCTCACTGTGTCAGTACTCTCTCCATTTCCACCCTGGGTTCCCCATTTCCATTTGCCCAGCTTTTCTGCCTTCTGAGTTCTGCTTTTGGGCAAATGCTGCCCTTTTGGTCTCATACAATTGAATGTCCTGAGGAGCACGTTCCTCATGGGTGTTATTGTTCACTTTATACAACTGCCTGTTATTTGGTGGTCTCTGCGAGTGGGTTCAGTTCTGAGTTCAAGGGGTGTTTAAGGGCCAGAGTCTCGGGTGTTTCGCCAGTCTCTATCAGACCAGTAAATCTAGTCTTCTTTATAAATTAAATAACATTCTTATGCTATGACTCATCAGTGCATCAATTGCTCCAAGTTATTTTTGCAGTAAAGGTAAAGAATTTGCAATGATTCACCCATTTCTTATAGCAAATCACACCAATTATAAGAGGGCTGGCTAGACACAGAAGTAGGGTCTACTTAATTAAATTGGTAACTATGGTCTCATTAGTACAATTTGGAAACCAATGAAATAAGTCAGCTATAACTCCACAGTCATTATCATGAGATTCCTATCTGCCCTCTGCCACCTTCCAACTCACACCTACCTGCATTTAAGCCTTTAAAGCAAAGTTTTTCAAAATAAGGTCAGTAGACTACCAAGCACCATTAGAACCCATTAATTTTTACAAATACAGATTTTAGAGCTGCTTCCCAGAGATACTGAATGGGAGTCTGCGAGTGGGGTCAAGATCAGCATTTTAAACAAGATGTCTACATGCTCGTATGCACACTAACTCGGTCTTGTTGTTGTTGTCATGTGCCGTCGTCGAGTCGGACCCGACTCAGCAACCCCTCCTTGGGTTTCCAAGGCAGTATCACTATGGAAGTAGATCGCCCCATCTTCCTTCCAAGGAGTGGCTAGTGGCTTTGAACCGCCAGCCTTCTGGTTAGCAGTCAAGTGCCGTAGGCACTACGCTACCAGAGCTCCTCTAACTCGGTCTAGAGCTTCTGTGTTCCTCAAAGGATTATGATGACTTTTTCAAGACACACACAAGGTATAGTAGTTGATTCATGAGATGATACATTATATCCAAGGGCAGAGAAAGTTTTTTTCTAGTAATTATGAGGTATTTTCTTTTGTTAAGCCGTGAACCTGAGAAATAATGTAAGAAAAATTGATTGGCCTTCATTTCAAGTATAAATCTCTAGGCTTATGCTATGCTTCTAAAATCTGAAACTCTGGCTCTGAGCTTGGTACTTTTTACTGTTATGTTGCCAAGTTTATTTGAATTTGCCTCTTATTTTTTTCATTTTAGATAACTTCAGAAAAAAAGAAATGTTATTCTGTGTCAACAAAACCCATCTTTAAAGTTGAGGCTGTGCATTGAGAAGTGGTTCACAGATGAGGGGAGAAGGGATCTAGAGAGTAAGTGGGATGGTGGTGGTGACAGAGCAAAGGTGTTACAGCTGTGTCTCCATTATTTTCTACTCCATTAAGCTGGAAGTTCAATATAGTCCTTTGGTTACACTGCTTTAATATGTTAGTGATTCTCATTTGAGGGACATTAGCGTATGTGAATATAAAGGAAGGATATAAATTTTTCCCCTCTCTGTTTTGACAATCACTGATGTATAAAAATAGTTAACTAGGATGAGCACAAATAAAGCTTTATGAAAGAGACATAAAATATGATACTGGCTTCCCATACAATACATGAAATATCAAATGTTCATGAGTAAATAGCACACCCTACTGCTGTCAATTATGAATACAAGAGATATGAACCTTCAGTGTATTCCTTGGTGCCATCCAGAGGATCAACCCAGACCACAAGCTAGAAAACAGAAGAAATGTACAAATGAAAGAAACGAAATTTTAAGATTTAAGTAAAATTACTTTTTTTACTTTTGAATTTATGCTATGGATGGCTGGATGAAGTCAACATCATCAGTTTTGTGATGTTTTTGTTGTTATGTGCCGGGGAGTTGGACCCGACTCATAGCGACCCCTCCTTGGGTTTCCAAGGCAGTATCACTACGGAAGTAGATTGCCCACCCTTCCTTCCAAGGAGGGGCTGGTGAGTTTGAACTGTCAGCCTTCTGATTAGCAGTCAAATGCCTTGTTGTTGTTGTTGTTATTTGCCGTCGAGTCGGCCCCCGACTCATAGCGACCCCTCCCTGGGTTTCCGAGGCAGTATCACTACGGAAGTAGGATTGCCCAACCTTCCTTCCGAGGAGTGGCTGGTGGGTTTGAACCGCCAGCCTTCTGGTTAGCAGTCAAGTGCCTTAGGCACTAGTAAAATAAAAAATGTTTATAACATTTTTATAATCATTGAAAAGGTCTTTAAATTAGAGAAGGGTCTGATTTACAAATCTTAAATATGAAATGCTCAACTGATCAAATTTATTGTCACTTGAGCTCTAAGTAAAATTCTATGAACATACTGAGCTCCAGATGGTGGTACAGGGAACACTGTCAGAGTGGCTCCAAATATGTGTTGAACAATGGTGGATGCCACTCATTATTATATATAAGTACTGATTCTTTGTTTTAATAACAACAGTCTGATTATCTTAAGGATCCATCTCATATGTACCAGAGATAAATGAATGGTTCACAAAACTGGCAGTAGAGTGAAAAAGAAAACCCTACTGCTTAGGACTTTTAACATAACTGAGGACATGTGACCATTAACCATGCTAACCATAATGTCTGATGTGAAGAACTTCATTTTTTTTATATTTTCCATAATACATAACAAAGTGCCTTCATTAGCCATAGTAAATGCTCAATGAATGTGTGTTAAATGAACTTAAATTAGGGAAGTATGGTGGATATCTGGAATCATATATTTAACTTAAATAATTGTAAAAATAAATGGGGTGATTTTTATAACTTCTTCAAAATATAAGGGAAACTCTGGTGGCGTAGTGTCTAAGGGATTTGACTGCTAACCAGAAGGCTGGCGGTTCAAACCCACTAGCCACTCCTCAAAAGGAAGACTGGGCAATCTACTTCTGTAGAGATACTGCCTCGGAAACCCAAGGAGGGGTTGCTATGAGTCAAATTGACTCAATGGCAGTGAGTTTGTTTTTTGGTCAAAATATAAAGCAGCACCTGTATCATCTCCTTCCAGCTCCAATTACCAATTAAATGTATGGCTGCCAAAGCTACCAAATAACAAATTAGATTTTCTTCTTAAAAGCATTTTTAATAGTAGTTTCAGAGTGTATAGGAAATCAAAGGTATGAGAAACTAAACTCTACACCAACAGACCAGATATTAAATAGGGTTGTCCGATATTTCTGTTTCATTTGTCTGGCTTGTCCCTATTGTATAACTACTGACTTTCCATCATTATAGGAATATTTTTTTTCCTTTACTGTGGTATAAAACAAACATTAAAAGAGAGTTAAGTATAAATATGGATCATACATCTTCCTCTTTAATAGCACTATATTGTGATGGGCACGGCTGCTTCAATATCTCCTCCCACTGACCATCTTCAATCAGCTCTTGGTCTACATCTTCAGGAGGCAGATCCTAAAGCAGAGATAATACCGAAGTTAAATAGAGTATACACTTCGCCTCAGTAACAAAACAAAACAAATACAGCATCGCAGTTTTCACTAGTCCTTTCCCAACTTATCATTTTTTTTCAAATTGTTATTTGGGTGAAGATTTAAAGAGCAAATTCACTTTCCATACAGCAGTTCACATATACTTTGTCTCATGACACTGACCACAGTTTACCACAATGCAACAGCTCTCCTCTCACTTCCTCCCCATAGTTACCTCTTCCCTGTGTCCATCCCTTCATGAACTCTTACCCCCTGAGCTGTCTCCCTGTGCATAAGCAGCCTTTCTTTCTCCTATGATTGTTCTCTCCAAGGAGAGTATCTACTTGAGGTAAAAGTTCAACTCATATGCCTGTCTTTTGTTTGGCTGGAAACCACGGGTGTGGGTTCAATTCAGACCTGAAAGGCAGCTAGGGGCCATAGTTTCAGTGGTTCCACTAGGTTCTATCGGACCAACAAACCTGGTCCCCCCTTTTTTTTCCTCCAAATGACTTTGAGTTTTGTTCCACATTGTTCTCCCTCTCCATCAAGGATCTCCTACATAGATCCCCTTCCAAGTGCATGACAGTGGTAGCTGAGCACCATCTAGTTCTTCTGGTCTCATACTTGTATAGGCTGCAGATCGGATGGTGTACCAGTCACTAGGGCCAGTTGTTTCCATGAATTTTGGTTTTCTTCATTCTTCTTTGCTCTGGTTGAGAAGAGACCCATCGTTGCATCTAGATAGCAGCTTGCTAGCTTTTAAGATCCCAGTCGCTACTCACCAAAGTAGGAAGTGGAACAACATTTTGTATAGTATGTTATGTCAGTTGAGCTTGATGTCCC